GCTCCCTTAAAGTTGGCAACACGACTTTCAAGTGTTCTCTGTGCTTTTCCTCATTCTTAGAATACACCAGGACATCATCTATGAAGATAATCACAAACTTATCTAGATATGATTGAAAATTTATGTTCATCAAAGTCCATGAAATAGGCAGAAGCATTTGTCAAACCAAAAGCCATTACAAGAAATTCGTACAACCCATACTGAGTCCGAAACGTAGTGAGCAATATACTTTCCTCTGACACACCCATCTAATGGTAACCCGTTCTGAGATCAAACTGAGAGAACACAGTTGTCCCCTTTAACTGATCAAACAAGTCATCAATTCTAGGTAGCGGATACTTGTTCTTGATAGTCACCTTGTTCAGCTCTCTGTAATCTATGCACATGCGCAGAATATCATCTTTATTGAAGACAAAGATCGCGAGTGCTCCCCACAAGGAGTTACTTGAACGTATGAACCATTTCTGAAACATCTTTTCTAGCTGCTTCTTCATCTCCACAAGCTCTTTTAGCGCCATTCTGTATGCCGCCTTAGAAATCGGTGCAGTTCCTGGCACTAAGTCAATGCGAAATTCTACTACCCGTCGAGGTGAAAATCCAGGTATCTCCTGAAATACATCCTCAAACTCACGTATCACATCTACCTCACTAATATCCTGCTTAGGGATTTTTACTGAATATAGAAAACTCGTCATCACTGACTCTACTCCATCACTATAAGTGTGGGTAAGTCATGACATACCAGGAATATCTATATTTACAGTTTTTCCAACACAATCTAGGGCCCCGTTTGTTTTGGGAGATAGAATGGAAGAGATTGATAATGAGGGGATTAATAGTGAGGGGATTGTTAGTGAGGGAATTGATAGTGAGAGAATTAATAGTGAAGGGACTGATAGTGAGATGATTAATAGTGAGAAATTGTTAAATTATTTTTATATAAAATAATAAAACAAATAAAAAAATAAACATTATATTTAAAAAAAAAATTCCCAATATATAAAAAATAAAAATAATAAAAAAATTTCTAATCCCTTCACTATTTTTCTAATACCATCTCTACCTCCTCCTTACCAATCCCCCTTCCTCCTCCTTACTAATACCAAGGGATTACTAGTCCCTTCCTTATTTTTCAAAACAAACACCCCATTCTCAATCCCCTCCTCACTATCAAGCCTAATCCCCTCTCCATAACCCCAAACAAACGGGGCCTAGAGTCACAAAGTGTTTTCGCAGCCAATCTATACCCAAAATAATTACAAACCCCTCAAACCCTAACACAATTAGGTCCGCATACAAGACTTTACCCGTAAAGTCAATCTCAAAAATCTTTACACATCTCATAAAGAGTAACTGCCCCTTCTAAAGGGGTCTCAACACGAATATGTCTAGATAAAGAGGTAGTTACAAGGTGTTCTCTTTCTACAAATTGTCTAGATATGAAAGAATAAGAGGCACCAGTATCAAAAAGTACTCCAATGGGTTCTTGAAAAAGATTTCAAATACAATTTTTTTCACCTGCCTTACATAACTCTGCTAATGAAAGAAGGGCAATTGTAAATTTTCATGTATTAATACCATCCAAACATAGCAAAATAAAAAATAATTATTACTATGGTATTACTAATTATTATTCATCTCCAACTGAATATTATCATACTAGTAATCACATTACTTAATTCTACCATATTCACAATCTCAATCCAATCTAATTTGTCAAATAAATGTGCCGAAAATCTTCTATAGTTACATACAAGTAGGGCTGAGCAAGGAATTCGTGAAATCCGTAATTTGATCCAGTCCAATCCAATTCGATAGATTTGGATTGATTTTTTGAATCCGTGGTTCGGTTCTGGATTAAAGAATTAAAAATCCGTAGTCCACAGATTGGTTCCGGATTGAACCTCACAATTCCGGATTGGAACCGATCCAGACCGTATACAAATAGTCTATATTTTTATTATACATCCTCCCCCATAGTATCTTCTCTTATTCTATATAAAACCTAAACTCAAATTGAAATCCGTATAATATCTTCTTTTATTACTTTTGTTTGTTAGTTTTTTAGTTTTAATTTGTAATGGTCTAAATACTTATGGTAAAATTAGTTTTTTTATAGTTATTTAAATTCTAGAATAGTATGTCACTATTATAGAATAACATGTTGCTATTGTGGAATTAATATAGCGTTATGTTTATGTTTTTATAAAATTAAAGTGTTATATGTATATTTTTTTGTTATTTAATTATGTGAATCTGTGGTCCTAAACCGATCCAATCCGTGTTTAAATGGATTGGTTCGGATTGGTTCTATGATTTAAAAAAATTGGATTGGTTCCAATTTTTCAGGAACTGTTGATAACGAATTGGTCCTGGTTTTACCCCAATCCGGTCCAATCCGGACCATGCTCACCCCTACATACAAGTAGAAGCCAATTCTAATTGATAAAAATTGGCATGTGACAACCAACCCTACTCCAAGGATAGCCTATAAATAAATAAATAAACTTCATAAAAAGTCATGTTTAAGTAAAAACGTTAAATAAACTAACATTTTATTAAAAAAATTATGTAAATTGAATTTTTGATAAAAAGATTGATTAAATAAATTTTTAGTTACATATTCCATGTTTCACACCCTAAACCCAGAAAGAATAGGAACCATGAAAATTTATCAAAAAACGTATAAAAGTGATATAGGTCTAGATTCAATTATTGTATAAGTTTAGTATTATTTTCTTATTTATATCGTTTTCTAAATTGTGTTATGAATCTATTATATATATATGGCTTTTACCCCATTCATGGGTAAGCCAAATAATTCTTTTAATTCTTTTTGGCATTAGAGTTTGGTTAAGTACCTAGTAATTTTGCTTCACAGGTGAGCAACAACCTTGCCTTGGCCGTCCGCCAGACCTTATTCATTCCACTGCCATATTTTCTTTCAGTATCCCTTCGTGGTGATCTCTTCCTCTATCCACTAGTTTATTCCTATCCCAAATATCTCTATCATATTTTTTTTACTTACAATCTATTTTTTGCCACTTTGTCTTTCCCTCTATTTCAACATCAAATATGTTTCTATCTTTAAACCTATTTGAGTTTGAGGGGGGTATTATGCTTATATCATGGTGAGCATGATGATATACCATGTGAACCACCTAAGCCACTCCATCTAGCACACAACCCAAGTTGCCCTCTTAGCGTACGACCTAAATTGCTCCCCTGGTGCACTTTCTAATAAGTCGCCCGTTGGCGCACTTAGTCATTTGTTGCCATCATTGTTCAGCACCACATCATAAGTTATGTGTATGCCACGCTTGCTGGTTCAACATCTAGTTCTCTACATCGGTCCGGCATGATCCCTTTAAACTGTCTCGACATTGATTCCGGTTAGTTTCTACAATGGTTCGACATGACCCCTTAAACTGTCCTGATATTGATTCCAGTTAGTTCCTACAACAGTTCGGCATGACCCCGTAAATTGTCTCGACATCAATTCTGATTAATTCTTACAACGGTTCGGCATGACCCCGTAAACTGTTCTGACATTGATTCCGATCAGTTCTTACAACGGTTCGGCATGACTCCGTAAACTGTTCCGACATTGATTCTAATTAGTTCTTACACGGGTCTAGTATGACGTTAAATTGTCTCAACATTAGTTCCGACCAGTTTCTACAATGGTCCGGTATGACCATAAACTATCTTCCGATATTAGCTCTGACCTTTGATACCAACCTAGGTCTTGTTGGCTGCCAACCAGGGTGTTTCCTGGCCATAGATGCTTCGACAGCTTTTCTAGGGTAATTCAATCCCTTTTTTTTTTCTTTTTTTTCTCTCTCTCTCTTTCTCTTTCTAGGGTGTGGTACTGATGTATTAAGCACTTTTGGCCTTTTTATGTAGTAGACTATTAGATTTGTTCGATAGCATTTATTTGGACTAGCTGTTGAGTTTTTTTTGGCTTCTTCCAGTCATCCACTGGCAAGCTGCGATTGTTGAATATCTTTACACAAGCTTGAAGGGATTTATTTGAATTAGACGTAGAGTTTTTTTCGGCTTTTTTCAGTCATTCATTGGCAAGTTATGATTGTTAAATATTTTCACACCAATTTGAAGGGGAGTGTTGAATATAGAAATTAGAATATATAAAATCTTTTTATTTTTAGTGTTATGTATATAATTTATGATTGTGTCAATCGCTAATTTAGTATTGTTTCCTTATTTATATCATTTTCTTATTTATATCGTTTCTTAAATTGTATTATAAATCTATTATATATATGTAACTTCTAACTCATTCATAGATAAACCAAATAATTTTTTTCATTCTTTTCCTGCCACTGAGCTCGATCACCCAGCCACAAGACCCCCACCCAAATCATAAAACCCTCCCAAATCCATAGAATACCCACAAAAACCCTTCTAGTCCCATCCACTATACTATGATATTGGACCTATTCATAAACAAATATTTAAGAAATATGAAACCTAGATGTATGGCAAAAATAAATCACTGATTATGGCAAAGTAGGTGATTTTTCTTTCCCCCAAAAAGTTAAATATAGAAACTGTGGAGGATATAGATTTGTGTGGCCATGGCAATGGGGTGAAGTGGAGCCTGGTAAACTTGTTTATGAATAGGTCCTGCCTAAATAATTATCCTGTAAACTTTCGCATGCATCATGCGCACTCTCTGTATTAGTTAAGATTTAATGCGACACAGGTTTTAATTTATATGAAATTTGATTACATATGTGATCATAACTAACCACATTGAGACAAAACATCTTATAACCAACTTGTGATTTGATAACATAACAGCCGCACATAAAAGGATCCAAATTATAGATGTTGACAGAAGGTAAAAAACCGATAGTGAAAGAGAGGTTATTTAATGATACAAGCAGCTAGCTAGTTTAGGGATGACAATCATGTACTTAAAAGACTTGTTTAGTCGATGCAATTGACATCCAACATTTGAATTGAAAAGAAATCAAAGCATCGAAGACAGAATTGCTTTTTATTAGCCTTCTTGATTTGTGAATGTAGCAACAGTTATTTGTACACCCTTAAACAAAGCACACCATTCCAAGACTACAAACATCAAACTCAGCTCTATCAGTTCAGATTGAGAATCAGAAACTGATACAATTTTCCTAGAAAACAAAACTAGTGAATCAGCCGGAGACTAACTTACGACAAATTGAGGGAAGGAGGAGGGCACATCTGCAAACAGCCTCTCATCCGCGACCCGCAGTAATGCAACCCGAAAAAAGGGTTTTTAAAAAAACAAAAAAAACACAAACAAAAAACACGTTTTTATGGTTAGTCAAAGCTTGCAGAACGGCTCCACCTTCCTTGCAAGTAGTCCTTCAATGAGACACTTTGCTCAATGCTGCTCAAGGAGAGAGAATCTTCCTCCACATCAAGCAACGCGACGTTAAGATGGGACTGGAGATTCAAACGTGGAAGAGCCTCGCCATCAAGCATGTCAGTCCCTTCCGAAGCATGAACTTGTAGCCTTGCCCACTTAATTACCTCAGAATCACCCTGGAGGAGCTTTGAGACCTGTAATAGACAAGAACTTGTATGTTAAGGGCCTTCTGTCAACAAAAAAATAAAAATAAATAAAAATTGAAATGTGCATCGTATAGGCAAATAACAAAGAGTAAGTTTCATAATTGAGATGCATCATGTTACATTTAGGAGAGCATGAAGTGGGACCCATTATCGAGTTTGATATCTGAAGATCTTACACCCACAAAAGGGTATATTTTATTGGGAACTCAATGACGGCCTAAATCACTGAACTCCGTGATCCTAGTTCCTTTCATTTAAAAGTCCGTTCTCATTGTGACGAGGGCATTTTGGAAATCCTTAAAATAGCAATGAAACGCAATTACTTAAAAGAGATTATTAGCATAGGACAGGAGAACTTTATGACAAGATATTAGAAAGTGGTAACCCCTCATTCCCTATGCCGTGATAGCTAGACTTGTGGAGTTGGGAAAATGGTTAACTTTGTATTAGTCTTTTCAAGTTTGGGTTAAACTTCTCTTGCTAATTTGCCGGCAGATGTAGCCACATACCAAAAAAGCACGTTGACTAGAATAAACTGTGTATGAATTCCTTCGTTTTCTAATAATTTGTAGCTTCTTACCAGCACAAGACCTTGGATTTCAACAAGGTCTCAGAATTAAGAAAAAAGTGTCTATTTGATTCTGGCTATCAGAATCACAACATTTCTGCTCTCTTGGACAACAAGTCATCAGTTAGAAACTTAAGAGTAAAGATGGGGGTTCGGAAAGGACTAAAAAAGGAGGAATTTTATGAAGATCATCATTCGCTAATCAAACAAGATGGATTTTTTGCAAGACAGCTATGAGGCCATTTGTTCTTCACAGTGTAAAATGTAAACTAGTCAAGAATCACAAATGCATGTCCGTACAACTAGTAAAAGTGTCAAAGTGATTGGTAACACAGACAAAACAGCACACCAATAAAGAATAGACCAGAAAAAATTCTCAAAGATGGTTTGGTGGTGTGCGAAGGAGAATAACAACATCACAAAAATCAGAAGCAATTTTAGCCAACCTGGAGGATTTGCAAGAGCAAGAGAAGGGTCAAAAAGAATGAATGCTAAGACAACAAAAGATGATACAACGATTAATTGAAAGGAAAGGAGCTATTTGGAACTTGTGACAATAACTAGCATAGAAATCGAACCAGTTAGGATAAAACAACCCTGTTACTGTTTACAAATCATCCAACGCTTTAAACATGAAACTAGAGCAAGTGCTAAAAAATCATTTCGCCTCCACTTTTTACATAGTATTGGATGCAAGCTAAGATACACTTCAAAGTGTAAAATTACATGGACCGGAAGTTTTTATTTTTTTAATAAATAGAAAAAAAAAAACTTACAATGCTCATTTGGGGTCGAGCTCGTGGTGCACGTCTGATACAGAGAGTAGCGGCTAAAACCATCCTCTCCATCTGATTGTGATCATATTTGTTTCCCATGCTTGGGTCTAATAGTTGGGAAACCTTTCCACCTTTTAGAATCAATTTTGCCTAGAAGGGGTGATTTATTGTTAGTATTAAACATGATCAAGAGATAAATTCATAATGATCCAGTGAGTAAAGAGAACCTACCCACATAACCAGGCTCTCTTGGCCCTTCGGATGATCATTACTTATAGGTTTTCTACCTGAAAGAAGCTCAAGGAGTACAACCCCAAATGCATAGACATCGATCTTCTCATTAACTTTGCCAAACATGAAATATTCAGGAGCCAAGTAACTGCAGCAGGCAATAAGATCCCCCACTTAATTTGTGCCACGTTTTTTTTTTTCTTTTTTAAATAAAAAAAATGAAGATCTGTAAAGTTTGTGGAATTTTTCGACAGTAAAATTAGACCAAGTCAGCTTTTTTATTCATCATAAATTATAATATTTTAGAAAAAATCACTTTTAAATGTATTTTGACTAGGATCCAAACAGGATTTAGAAATTAAAGAAAGTACAAACCCAAATGTCCCTGCAACATCAGTGCATGTTATATGTGATGAAGACGTTGATGCCCACTTTGCTAGTCCAAAATCAGACAGCTGAAAACCAACATAAACAGCATGAGTATTGAGAAAGTGCAAAAACCAAAATGTCCAATGCCAGTACACTGCAAGGTCAAGTTCGATTACCTGTGGCTCAAAATCATCAGAAAGTAGTATATTCGATGATTTCACATCCCTGTGGATCACAGGTTTAGCACTTACATTGTGCAGATATTCCAGTGCCTCAGCTACACCGACAGCCACCTTAAATCTCTCACTCCACCCAAAGGCTCGAAGGTTCTTCTTATTACCTGTTTTAGAGCATACCCATAAAATATAACGTAATCTCGAATTCCAAACAACAAAATCCTTACTTTAGTTTTATCATGTGAAGTCTTAAAACAGATGTTTTAAATGTTGGGTAAACTATCCATAAGTCATTTTCATAAAATTATATTGAAAATAAACCCTACTATAATTGTCCTTAAAAATAATTTTTTATAACAATTTTTTACATGTTGCTAAAAATTTATAATTAGTGACTTTTTTTTTGTTACGATTTTAATAACTTGTCGCTAAAATTTATAATTAGTTATATTTTTCTGTGATGAATTTTTCAAACTATAGCTGAAAGTTAAAAATTAGTGACATTCTTTTGTGATAATTTTTTTAAATTGTCGCTAAAACTTATAATTAGTAACATTTTTTGTGATAAAATTTTCAAACTGTAGGTAAAAATTAACAATTAGTAACGTTTTTAATAATGTATGATGAAAAATATCATTAATTATCATAAGACCTATTAGACAATAAATCTTATTGCATACCATGAAGGTTCTCTTCTAGGCTTCCTCGTGATAGGAAATCATAGACCATGAGAAGATTGCAATCCTCAAAACAAAACCCAAAAAGGGAGATAATGTTCTTGTGATGTAAGGCAGTAATAATCTCAATTTCCAATACAAACTCTTTTAATAAATCTTCAGACTGCTTCAAGATTTTCACAGCAAGTTCTTTGCCGTCAGGAAGGCAACCTCTATAAACCCTACTGCTACCTCCTTTTCCAATCAAGTTCTCTGTAATTACCAAAGAAAAAAAAAATTGATCGAGTCAGCTAAATGTTAGCAATATAGATTTGTAAATGCGATACTAAAAATGAATGAAGAATTAATCAAACCCGGAATGAAATTTGATGTCGCCTGAAGAAGTTCCTGGTATTTGAACAATCTGCAACTTTCCGAGTGCTTCTCATGAAGTCCTTTCAATTCTTCTGGTAGACTTCTTGAACTAGAGCTTGGAGAAGATGGGGAAGATACAGTCTCTGCACCAACAGAAACAATTGAGCCACTTTCCTCATCAAATTCAGACGATTGCTCTTTGTTTTCATTGCAAGTAGTTTGATTTGAATCCGCACTATGCAAACAATGTCTGCTGGGCAATTGCAATGCCCATTGTACCGCAGAGATCCGCTTCACTGATGATCTGTCAGAAACTTGCCGATCTGAGAAAATAGCTCGATGAAGAAGTGGCCAACCGGGTTTCACTTCAGGCAATTCTCTTATCAACGAAGAAATTGGGCTCAATGGAGCCTCTACCTTCTTTACTGGCACTATAGCTTTCGAGTTGTCTTCATCGCTATCACCGGCAGAGCTCTCTGGTGATTCGAAACAAGAATTTTCCGGCGAAACAGAATTTGGGGAACAAATGGAACACTTCTTTTTCAAGGCTCTCTCTGCACAATCCCATCTTGCCTTTACTAACGCGGACTCTAAACTTTCACAAGTAATCTGATCACTTGTCGCTGTTGAGTTCTCATCCACATTTGCACCATGTAGTAATTTGGAATTCTTACTTGCCGAGCTTTGAATTGCACCAAGTAAATGATGTCTTCCTTGATCATCGATTCCTGCAAAAAAATAAAATCAAAATAAATAAAGAGACAAGAACTCTACATGTATTAAGCACAGATTCTTATTTTGAAAACATTAAAGAAGCAACCACAACCTTTTGCACGGCCATTAGTCATTGGAGGAGAGGCTTTTCTTTGAAACACAATCTTCCCATTATCAACCGCGAGTATTGAGCAATCCTTTGGTAAATTTTTGGCGCAGTACTTGGCAACAGAGGCCGAGGAACAGATTGTATGGTGATTTTGAGCAGTACCGACTATAACCTCATTGGCAAAGTAAAACTTCGCTTCCCGAACAAGAACTTTTCGAATGGATGAACCTCTGCAGACCTTAAGCTTGAGGTCCACCTGGAAATTTCCAACATGATCCCATCTAGTTAGTCATTAATATCGAATATGGAACCTGAGAAAAGTTAAATTTCCAGTAAACTCGGCCTACTTCGACTAAACTGAATGGAGTTCTTCAACTTTCTCAAAAGAAAAGTGGCAGAATTTCACATATTAGTTTGTCTTATTTTTTCAATTTCTCAGCAACCAAACAAGGGTGATTACATGAATTCCACCACAACTTATTGCTCCAACACCCAACTCGTTAATATTTCGATTGGTCACTGAGAAAATTCTGGAAAAGAAACGAAATTAGAACCTGGAACTACAGATTTCTCAACATTATGAAGCCAACAAAAGAAAACCCCTCATGCTACTCAACCCAATGAAACAGTAGGTATTTCTACTCCTTTCCTTTCCTTTGTCTTCACAGAATCCAAACAGAGGGTAGTTAAAATCATTCAACATGAAAAAACAAAACCTTACTGAATTATAGACAAAGTACATGAAAAGCCAAACCTGTTTCAAGTTGCAGAAACCTTCGTACACAGTAAGAACAGAGTCAAATGCTTTAATAAGCGAGAGAAGAGAAGACTTCCCATCTCGATCAACAATTTCTACACATACCCATTTCATCAAACCAGTCAATTAACACTTGAATCAACCAAAAACCAAAAAAAAAAACTCAAAAATCAAAATTTCCATTCTATCTCTCTCTCCCAAAACCATACCATTATTATTCAGAACATGAAGAGCAATCACACAATCACCAGGCTGCGCAACCTTAACCAAAGCCCAAGTCAGCAACTCTCTGCTGTGAGAGTCCAACTTCACACCCACCACCACCGTCCGGCAGCCGGAAACTTCCACGACTCTGTCTTCTCCGGCGAGCAGAGTTTGAGTCATTTTGGTGGGGGAAATTGGAGTTGTGGGTCAGATTCCGACGAGTATGTGGTGTTGTGGTGGCTCATTAGAGGTCATATCTGACATCTGGGAGAACATATATAAGAGACAGGTTTGAGGAATCTGAGATAAACACGATGGCTTAAAGGCTTAACGGTCGGCTTCAGTTTACGTGCTTTTCAAGCCCACCAAGAAAGAAACAGAGACAGAGAGAGAGAGAAGCAAGTTTCGTGTGCTAATGTTTCTACTTTGTCATGATGAGTTCGCTTAATATTGGGTCTCCTGAGTCGACCAACTTGCAAGGGAAGAGGTATCAAGTGATAATTTGTTTTCTTTTACGCTGTGTTTGGTTGGGGGATTTGGGAAGGGAAATGGAAAGGGAAATGGAAATGAAAGGAAAAGGAGAAAGAATTAATAGAATTCCAAATCCCAACTATGTTTGGTTGTGTTGGTTATAAAATAAAATTGATGTCCTAAAAGGTATCATATTTCTTTATTTATTTCTCACCCCTTTCTTTTCCCATATATTTTTTATTATAACCAAACATAAATAAGATTACATTTTTCATTCCTTTTCCAAATCCCACCTCAAAAACTCCAATCAAACACAGCATTAGTGTATTTGTTGTTATTGAAGTTTAAGAATTAAACTCATTTTTCAAACGAAAAGTAATAATGTTAGAGATTTCAAATATTTTGTTAAAAATTTTTATTAAATATTTTATATAGATGTGAGATTCATATAATGTGGGTCTCATGTGGGTCTTACACTCATGTGAGATATTTGGTAAAATTTTTAGTAGAATTTTTGGAGCCTCTTTAATTTTTAGTTATAATTTATGATTTTTTTGGTTACTCTTTATGTAATGTTTGGTTATATATATATATATATATATATTTTTTTTTTTAGTTATAACTCAAAAAGTATAGAGTTATGTTATTTAAGCTAGGTTTAACATTCCCTTAAAAAATAAAAAAAAAAGGTCAAAAAAGCACTATCCTATTTAAGTTACATCATCTTATTTAAGTCACATCACTTCTCTACCACATCACTTCAAACCTAACTTATATTTCATAAAAAGTAAAAAAAGTACACTTATTTAGAACATTCTAAATCACCCCTTAATAAGGGTGTACCATAGTCTTTTATTTTTCAAACTCAATGATGTAGTAATCAATCATTTTTTCTTATATCTTCTTTAATCATCGATCAATTTTATCACTTACACATCATTAAGTTTAGAAAATTAGTCTAAAATGTGGATTTGTATATCAAATTTTTTTTTTCTTTTTTGGTTACTTTAGGTAAATATTTATGCTATGTTTACCAAAATTATACTTCATCTCAAATTGTTTGTTCATTTTTATCATTCATGCTCTTAAAAAATTCATTTTTTATACAAACTAAAATAACTTTAGATACTTTAAATGTTTTTTCATAATACCAACCAAACAAGAAAAAAAAGTGAAATGTCAAATTTTTTTGTCATTCCTGCCTTTTTTTTTTTAAAAAAAAAAAAAAGGTTTTATTTAAAAGTATTAGTTCATTTGTTAAATTTATTTCTTTGAAAAAAAAATCAAATTAACCAAATTTGGTTATACTAAAAGCCGTTAAACGAAGTCACAAAATTAAAATGAACCAAACAAAATATGTTTTTAGCATTAATTTTTTATAAGTTTATTTTTGACTAATAAATTATATTTTATCTACCTCCGAACGAAAGTCTAAATAGAACTCTTATTGGAGCATTCAGTTTGGATGTATGAATTTTATTATGGTTCCATTTGATTAATATGGGTTGTTTCATCTTTAGGTCCCTATGCGTGTCTAGATCATTCACGCATCTATTTAACAAATATTTATTAAAAGTAAACCTTACCTTTGATTAATATAAAAATGATAAAATTGTGTGATTAAAATTTTAAATTAATTTAACTTTTTACAAATAATCTGCAAATAAGAAATCATAAAATTAATTATTTAAATTATTGAAATAACACCCATGATGAAATCCTACAAATTTTGTGATTTATTTTGTGATGCAAAGAATCTTCTACCTTAAACTAATATTTAAAGACAATAAAAAAAAGGGAGTATTGAACTTTGTTGAGGTTTAAGAAAATTAAAACAAATTTATAATTTTGGTATGATTACACCAACGTTTCTTTTAGTAAGGTTAAATTGATTAAAATTAATGTAGAAATATTGTGTGAAAATATAGGAATAAACAAACAAAATATACATTTTTATAAAACAGATGACAATATTTTTTACATTCACAAGACTAAGTGAATTATTGATAAATAAATAGATTAAGTGTTATATGAATTAAAATATTAAAGAAATTCAACATAATTATATCAAATTTATAAAATTTATTATATATTTTTTTTTGAAAATTTAAAAAATATCAATATAAGTTAACAAATTAAAAATTGAGATAAAACCCACATGGGTAAAAAATTAGGAATTGTTTGGTATTTTTGATATTAATACATTTTTTTATGCTTTTATTTTTTTAAAATATCATAACCCCTTAAAAAAATGAAATCAACTTAGGGTTAGGTCAAGGTCTTCTATGTTATATTGTACAACTAGTAGATTAAAAGAGTAAAAAATGAAGCATTTCTCCATTACTAAAACTCTAATGACGTAACGCCACCGATGTGTAGCTTTCAATTAGGGGGTGTCGAGAGTCAACTGTCAAAAAAAGTGATCTTTACTTTCAACCTAGTACCAACTCCAATACCCAATTAGCGCGTGAGATCCACTCTTTAAAAATTTCTTTTTATTTTAATTATGCAAAAACAGTTTTTTTTTTTGCCCTTTTTTTTGCGTCCGGATCCTCTAGAGTCATCCTCTAGAGTGATCCTCTAGAGTGGTCCCTCAGAGTGCAACACGTGTCCCATTAACGCATCCAACGGCTGAGATGATCCCTCACCAAAACGGCGTCGTTTTGGTAATATTTTAATATATTTTTTCATGAGGTAAATTACAATAAATTCACTTAAACTATAATTCATTGCACTTTGTTCTCTAAGTTTTAAAATTCAACAGTTAACTATAGGGTGTTTGATAACTCAATTAATCTTATTTGATAATCACAATTGATATTACTTTCGAATTTAAGACATCATTTAAAAATAGACTATTTTAGTAATTTTTTAATTAAAATATGAGGTAAAAAAATTAGTATGTTTAAAATGATTTTTTAGTTTTTTATTATAAAATATGCAAAAAGTAGAGAGAAAATAAAATTTTAACTTTTTTATATAGGTTGTTAGCTTTTTACTTTTTTTTTAGTGACCTTTTGACTTATTGAGTTGCCAAATGAGACCTTAGTGTCTCTTAAAATGTAAGTTAAAATTTTTAAAAAAATTAAGTCATACGAAATTTACTTAATTCTAACTAAATTTATAAATACTAAATATAAGTATCGATATACATTATTATAAACTTATTATCACCACCACCGCTACCGCTACCACTACCACTACCACCACCATTATGCCACCACTACAACAATCACCATCATCAAGCTATCGTTGCTGCTGCCGCCGCTGCCACTGCCACCATCACCATCACTACCACTATCACCACTAATGTCGTTGCCGTCACCGCTACCACCACTACCACCATCACCACTACCACTACCACTACCACTACTAGTACTACCATCATTTTCATCACCATTATTATTGTTACTGTAATCACACCATCATTTTATTACCATTATTATCTCTATTGCTACCACCATCATTACCACCACCATCATAATATCAAAATTGAAATATACAATTTGAAAATAATAAATTTTAAATTTAATTTTATATATATTAAACAACTTATTTTTAGTTCAACATTTAAATTTTTATCAAACAGTTTTTCAGTTTAAAAAGTGGGCCTGTTGGTAACGTTTTACTTTTTAGTTTATATTTACAAATTTTTATAAACTAGTTTTTGTTTATTTTTAAGAAAACATAAACTATAAAACCGCGGTTTGGTTTAGAACAAACAATTGTTTTAATTAAATTTTAAAATTATAAAAAAAAAGTGAGAATGGCAAGTGTGGCGGGTGGTGGGTAGACACGAGTGCGGCGGGCGGAAACGGTTGGTTTGGAAAATGATGGCGGTGAGTGGTGGCGGTAAGACGCGTGGTGGAAAATGATAGGGAGGGATGGTGTGGTGTGGTGGTGGGGGTGGGTGGGATGACTGGTGGCGGGTGAGTAAGAGTGGAGATCACGGCGTTGGTGGTGGTGGTAGTGTCTCAGTGGCGGGTGGTGGTGGTGGTGTGGTGGGTGATGGTGTGGTGAGTGGTGGTGGCGTGGTTAAGGGCAGGATGGAGATGTGTGGTAGTGGTGGTTGAGTGCTGGTGGGCGGAGCGTGGATGGTAGTGGCGGGTGGTGGGTGTGGCGGGTGGTGGTGGGGTAGGACGGGTGGGGTGGCAGTGGTGGTGTGGTGGCTGGTAGGTGACAGGTGAGTGGTTGGTGGACGGGTGGTGGGTAGGTGGTGGTGGTTGGTGTGGGGTGGTGTGGCGGGTGCGGTTGGCAGCGGCTGTGGTGGCGAGTGGTGCATGTGGTGCAGGTGGGGTGGTGGAAGTGCCTCGGTGGCGGGTAGGTGGCAGGGTGTATGGCGGGCGGTGGATGGCGTAGGTGGCTCGTGGTGGGTGCCGTGGCGGCGAGGGTAGGTGGTGTGTGGCTGGCCGAGTCGGTGGTTGTGGGTGTGGTGGACAGGTGTTGGTCGTGGTGGGTTGGAGTGGTGCTGAGGTCGGTCGTAGTGGCGGAGTGGAGGTGGACTTGGTAAGGGTGTGGTGGTGACGAAGGTAAAATGGTGGCTGAGCGGAGGGTGGTGGCTAGTGTTTGGGTGGTAAAAAAAAAAAAAACTCAAAACTCAAACGTAAACTTCATTTTTTGTGTTTTCATTTTTTGGCCAAATTTATATAAACTGAGAACCATTGATGCCGTTTGGTAACACTTACGTTTTCAGTTTTTGTTTATATTTACAAAAAATTTAAAAACTCAAATAAAAAGCTTGTTTGGTAAAATTTTTGATTTAAAATCAGTAATCTCAATTTAAAATTTGTCCAAAAAATGAAAACACAAAAAAACTGTGTTTTCGTTTTGAGTTTCAGTTTTTTTTTTTTACCACCCAACACTAGTCACCACCGCCACCATTTTCCACCATCGTCTTCACACCACCACCAACCTTACCACCCAACCCCTCACCACCACCTGCCACT